AGCCCGTCGATGGCCTACCGATGTCGGTACGCTGTTGCTCTGCGTTTGCAATCATTCTGAGCGCGACCAGTCTCCAATCCCTGCTTCCGGGAGAATATAATAATCGACTTCTCGGCCCTCCTTCAGTGACATGCTCGATAGTCGAGCCTTGAGAACCAGGAAGAATTGATCGGAGAACGGAGCTCAGCGGAGGGAAGTTGCGAGCCCTTATTCTTCCACGATCGATCCCTCGACGACGCTTTCGCTTCTGCAGCGACATCTTGGAATTCGAATGGAGCCCTCGATATTATTGCCCCGCACAGGCTCCAGTTCCGGCTCATGTTCCCGCTGAATTCGTTGGAGCCAAATGTCGACTTACCTTAATCTGAGAAGCAGCTATCACATATGTGCATTCGAAGAGGAATCACTCATCGAAACAAATAAACAAGCGAACCTACTGAGGGCAGAAAATAGGAGCACCATCTCTCTCCCCGCGGCTCTCGAACTGGAGATCACGATACGGCGGGGAATGAACTCTGAATTCATGGAAATAATCTCGGAGCCGAATTTATTTCCGCATCAGATCGTCTCCCTCATGCGCATGCTGCTGAAAAGAGTTCGGAATCGCATCGATAAACGGATAAGCGAAATTTCGATATCGAGAAGGATTGCTTCGAGAAGTTACGATCGCCTTGCTCCGTAGACTTATCCGCTAGACTGGCGTCGGATGATTCCGGTCTCTCGACATCGGCTCCACCACGAGCTCACGAGGCAGAGACTGCGTCGGCGTCGCATCTCCCTTGTTCCGCGGTTTCTTCATATTCCCGCTCCGAAGCCTCGTGCTCGAATGTCAGCGCGGCGAGTCTTTCTAAGGCGCGCCGTCGACGGTCGTTCATCTTCCTCGACGGCTTGGACTCGAAATCTCGTGCACCAATGGCTCCACCTATTCAAACATCGAAGTGGAATGAATAGGCATCGGAGTGGAATGAATAGGCATCGGAGTGAGGAATGAATAACGTCGACGTCGAATGAGGAATGAGGCGATGGTCAAATCACCGGTGTCTCGCAGGTTCCACTGGCTTCCTCAGACAGCGGCTCCGTTGATACTATCGACTCGGACGGCGGGCGGAGCGGAGCTTCCCTGGCTGTGGTGCGTCTATGTCTGTCTAGGCTGTACGAGAGCCCCGATCGTTAGAATGCTGTTTCGTCGTCTTTCCGCTGCTTCCGCCACGCCTCCGAGGGCGAATGTCGCAGGCGCCGGCCGCTGTTCCCGCTGCTGGTAGGGTCGCCGATGGGTGTTCCGGGACGGGGAGACGTGCAAGGGAACGGGAAAAAGAAGGAAGCGGAACAACGAGAAAAAACGCAGGCGAGCGGGAAGGCAAGCAGACGGACGGGCGAATGAACAGATGGGATTCCGGTCAAATCAAAAGCCAATTGGAATTCTTGGCGGAAGCAATTTAAGAGCTCCCCCTCGCTAAGCAGAATTAGTCGTGCTAATAAAATATAAAGTTTGCACTCCCGGACGCGTTGTGTGAATGTCGTGCAGAGGCGCACTCTAGAAAACGGACTCAGAATTTATGTGGAGAAAATTCGAGCGCTGACAGGAGGTCCGCTGGAGACCGTCGGCACGGGTTCTCCGATGCAGCCGCTCTGAGATGGAATATTCAGTTCCGAAAAATAATACTCATCTCGCCAAAGACTCGCCTCGGTACGTCGACACCTGTACATCGTCCCGCGGAGCCAGACGGAATGAGTCACATAATTACTTCTGTCAGTAGCAGACGGTTTCGCCTTCCATTGTTTAGATTCGGTTCTTCGACAAAAGGAATAAGCGGGCTCTACTCTTGTTGCGGTATGGCCGCTCGCTTCCGATATCACTATCTGTTCCCGCGGGATTAGGTCGACTGTTTTGTCAAGCTCGACCTTGATCTACCCGAGTCTGCGCGTCCCTCCTAAGTCCCGCGAAAATACTCGGGTCGGGAGAATCTTCCCGTGGTCCCTTGTCGAGCGACGGGCTCAGCTTCGCAATGGGCATATAATCCTCGGACTCTGCGAGCTCAGAAAGGTCGTCTCAAATGCTAGCGGTGTTGAACCATACGGATCAGCGACGGTACATATGCCAGGGGCATTGAATTCCCATCACAAACTCCTGCACCTAATCGCTGATCACACGGTACGACGACGATGGACGATACCAGCTCCCTTCGCGGGATAGAATGCACGAGCTCGGGGACTCTCATGATAATCGCAGTCTTCGGGGAAGTCACTGTCGATTGCCTGGAGCCTGTTCGCGACCTAGCGGAAATTCTCGAGGAACATCCCGGTCTCGCGTGCCGAGAGTTAGTTCCCGGGTCACGTTAGTCTCCTCGGTAAATTATCAGATATTGCAACAGTTTACTGTACGAGACGCGCAGTTCCTCACAGACATTATCTCCCGTAGTACCGGGGCCGCGGGCGGTGCTGCTTTCTGGACAGAAGCTCTCCTCTATGTCTGTGACGGTCCCGTCGCAAACATCGGAATCGATTTCTTAGTCGTCGAGCACGGCTCCGAGCGATGGGACAGGTTTCGGGGACAGTGACCTTATCCATACCGCTCCTATCCGAGGATCAGACCTCATTAGGCGAACCCAAACAGCAGTCATGGTGCGAGCTCCAACGGATTCCTCTTGCGCAGGCTCCGTCATGGATACATGCATTAAGAGAGGTGATTTTTGTTGGAAGTCTCGATCGGCGAAACAGCCGGTGACGGCCAATGGATCTGAAATGGCGAGATCAGGGGTGGAGAATGGCGAAACACGACGGAGTATCTCTCACTCAGTCAGTCGCTCCGATCCGACAATGCTCAGCTCATTCTGGGCATCATGAAAGAAAGCTGACCGTCAATATTCCCGCGGATACCTTATTCCTTTCTAACTGAAGGTCATCCCCGACAAGTTTTCAAACCTCCCGTGGGATGCCCTTCAGTCAGAGCATGACCTTGGATTTCTTCATTCAGATTGGTATAGACCGTATTTTTCCTGTGAGAAGCTCTTGATGCGCGTTTCTGAAGTTCAGTCCTGCAAGAGCGAGAGGAAAATTCTTTCAACGGTGTCATAATTTATATCGGTGATATTACTTCTGCGAGGGATGCTTTCGTTCTTGGCAAAATCATTTAGCCTCGACGACGAATCTTCTCCCAGCTTGGTTTCGTGACAGGCTTTCCGAGTTGAACATCATTCATCGAATCAGAAGGAGACCCGCACTGCTAAGCTTGTTCCTTTCGATCATGCATGATGCCGCCTGAGGGGCTTTCGAGTGCGTTGGTCTTGTCACTCAGAAATTTCCGTCGAAAACGGGCTCTGCCTTTCCGCGATTCTCTTCCCGCATAGTGGGATGCTCGTCCTCTGGAGCATTCCCTTTTGTTTTTCAATGCCCCCAGGGGGTGCCCTTAATAGGAGCATGCCCTTGTTATGAGAGCATGCCCTTCAGTTAGTAGAAACGGGGTATGCCTTCTTCGGACGCCTACTTCTTCTGTGCACAATCGCCAGCCGATTTGAGGAGCTTGAGCAGGGGTGCACAGTTTCCTGGGATCGGCAGTTTATTGATGGAGGTGTCCTTACTCCCGGGAACGTGTCGTTTCGATGTCCAAACGGAGGAGCCCCGGGTTCACAAGAAAAGCATTTAAGCCTGGAAGCATGGCAGCGGGCCGCACAATATTATCGCGTGTTGTGCTAGAGCATCTGAGAGAACGATGAATCGATGGCGGAGTCCTTATCCTTCTTATCCAGCCACCTATAGCGAGTCCAGGAATGCTCCGAGGAGGGGGCAGTCAATTAACCGAGGGAGGGGGCACGTATTGATACCTTCAGGGACCCTGTTTGACGCAGGAAGCGTAGGCAGTCAGATTCCTCGATGAAGCTCAAATCATGCTGTAGCAATCATTGATTTCTATCAAGTATATATGCCGGCAGGAATTCTCGAGATAATGGAGAGTCAAACATGGAATCCGCAGCAATTCGGCGAGTTGAGCGACGCCTTCAATGGCCGGCTCATTCACGGAGAGACATGAAGAAATTCCTGCTTTCCAGAGTATTCGGGATTCAAAGCGACCCTATTCCATGCTGAAGTAATCCAGGTGGTACAAATTATGCCATGTGCAAACCGGACTCACATGCAGCCTTCTTATCAGCAGCTCCCATTCGCTCCACCTCGAGAGCCGTTCGAAAAAAGAGAACGCATTCAGATCGACCCTCAAACTTAGAGCTGATCATGAGCTCGAGCGATCTCCCAAAGAGAGAAAAAACTCTCTTGATCCGAAAGAGCAGGCGAGTAATGAGCCTAGACCCCCATGACCCTGATGTTGGCGGAACATCAAAGCTACGAATCGTTTGCTGCTTGCATTGAATAGGCTCCGTGACTTCAAGCGACTGAGCGCTGAGAAGTATCGTTTCTGGATGCAATAGCCTAACATCCTTGAGACACCGACCGCAATCAGAGCTCGATTCGCAAAAGCTCCGTATCATGATGTCGGTCCTAGGCCTTCCAAAGATACGCAGTTTCCTCAAGACCCGCGCATCTTCGGATCCCGTATCCGCGGATACCGGTGTTAAGCAGCTTCGGAGATGATATTCCACACATTCTCATTCACCAATGTATATCGATGAACACATCCATGTGAATATTTAGCGAATCCAGTCGATTGCAGCCGCGAAAATCGGAGAATTCTTGCGTTTCGGATCCGCGGTCCGTGATCCGTTGGAAGGCCTCGTCCGTACCCGATACGTCGATGCACTGAACACAATACTCGACTCTATAAATTATACCGCGGGATGGAGCAATATGGAGGCACCTGGGGAACATCCTACTACGAATGAGCCTCGGTCCGTCTCCTGGGAATGTTTTCGAGAAGATGGGATTCAATCCAAAAGCTGCAATATTCGACTGTTTCTGCCGCCCGTGGGCTTCTGAGGGCTGCTCGGCAGCGCATATGCACGTCGACGGCTCGCCGACGGCATGTACGGGTGGGACGACATGTTCTGCAGATTCGCTCGACTCATTGATTATTGGAACTACTCGCCGCCGAGGTTGGAGGTCGACACCCTAAGTTGTGCTCGGGGAGGTCATATTCGAGAAAAGTGAGTAAAAGTGGTATGTTGATCCCCGGAAAAGGAGGGAATTCGGACGAAATTCCTGGTTGCACCTTGATTCATACTTCGATGCCCGAAATGTTGATTCCATCACTGGTCGCTTGGACCCTCCGGCAACACCGGAGGAGCTCGTCGAGAATATCTCGATCGAGTCATCCGCTCACAGGGGCTCGCAGGCCTTGAGCGCCCCGAGGATGCAATTCTTTCCTCTGACACTCGTTTCGGATTGGGGAGATTTCCTCTCAGCTCCATTGAACCTCCGTAGATGTCGACGATAATTGGTGATGTCCGAGAGAGGGAAGTCTCCGAATTAGACCACAGGGCGGTTGAGCGGCTCGAAGCGTCTCTGGCACAACCTCCAGAGAGTGAGTAACATGTTTCCTGAGATCACGTCCCGAGACGCTGCCAGGGGCTGCTTTCCCGAGAATTCCTCAGCGAGATTCTGTCTTTCCAGCTTTCTTCTTCGACTGTTCATTTTGTGGAGCAGAGAGACGGATCTATGTCAATGATCCGGGAGTTCTGTCGTTCCGAGACTACACGTGTGCAGATGGTAAGATACTCCTGAAGGAACCGGGAATCTCGCCCGTTTTAAGAAAAATGAATTCTGAGAACAGTCATTCTGACTCTCGATCGGCGGAATTCCAGTTCGGAGGCGCTGCAGGACGCCAGCAACGCCCAAATCCACAAGACCCCCGCCGCTGTTCCGTCCCGGCAGTCTGGTCTTCGCTGCCAGACCGAACGGTGAACAAGGGTACGTTCATATCTGTAGCGGCGAATCTCACCTGCAGTGAGAAAACTTGCGGGAAAATCGCATCTCAATGACGAGCTCATGTAATGTTTTCTCATCTCAGCTATTGGCCGGGCATAATCGAAGATCCCCCTTCTTCGGAGGAGAGGTTTCTAGTTCTCGGAAAAACCCCATACAGACCGGTGAGCAGACCCGTCTCTGGACCAATCTGGTCGATTATTATGCATGCGCCTAATTACTACGCCAATCTCTAATTTGGATTCCCCGACCCCAGAGAGCGTGGTATGTCACTTTTATCTACCCACAAGACGCCAATCGGAGGATATGGCTCGGAGGTTTCATCGCAGCAAAAGATGTCATCCCTCTCGAGCAGCCGCGAAGCATGCTACCCAACCTCGGTGAAAGCACACCTATGTTCACACGATCCATTGAGAAGGCTTTTCATCTAGTACCTAAGACTCTCCCCGAACGGCTATCGGCAGCTTCTTTCAATGCCTATGCAGTAAGTCACTCAACTCGGATTGAATCAAAACCTTGTGATGAGACCTTGCCCTAGAAGGGTCTATCGACCACTGACTGAGGCCGGTGCAATTTGGACTCGCTCAGGACTATTGGATAAGCCGAGGTTCTCTTCTTTCAGTGCTTCGAACGGAGAATACAGCTGAGCTCCCCTCCAGAACCATATTTCAAGGTACCCGATGCACCCGCACCGCGCCGGAAACGAAGTTCCGCGGATGACGTCCCCGCGTCGCCAGCGGGCCCACCGAAAGTGCAGAGGCGAGCCGAAGAAGGGGAAGAAGAAGAAGAGCCAAGAGGAGGAGAAAGGCCGGGATACCTCGAAAGCTTATCGTACTGGATCGGATCATCAACGAAGGAGGAGTCCTCTACCGACTCCGAAGATTCGTGATGATTCTGAAAGATTTTATTTTTGTTCATTTCTCGAAGATTTGCGACAAGCTCTTTTAATTTATCGGCTCGTGCAAAATATCTTCGGCGAGTAGGTTGTGATGCTTGCAAGGCCACGAAGCGAGTTCGAGATTGTGATCGTTCGCGCTGTTTCTCAACAGTATGAGAACATTGGTTTCAAGTTTCTCAACCGTAGTCGAGCGTTGTGATAGACAAAGTTTTAAATCTAATTATTGATGAGCAATCGCGAATCCGTGTTTCGAATCGCGGAGAGCTCGATTAGATAGCAGGAGATAATTTAAAAGCTGCGATACCCCGTATTGTTCCACAATGTTCCGAGCGGCGAATAAAATGTTGTGATACCATTCATCTATGATTCACTGGATACCCAAGGAGACACATTTCAGTCAGCTCCCCATCCCGATGGGGCTATAATATTCCAAGAAAGCAATGATCGGAACGAGAGGACCTCTACACCGGCTTGTGTAGTCTTGTGGGTTGTGTAGGCTTCGAAGTCCAAGGTCGAGACTCAGAGGCCGTCATCAATCCCAGCGCCGTCTGACTCCCAATGCACTCAGCCATTGAGCGGAGAGTCGCAAGAGTTCAACATCAGTTCTAGGGCTCTGGGACTCGTCAGACCCCTACAGAGGGGCTTCGCCCCCTCTCTTACTGCCTTCCCTCCTCGATGAATTTCAAGGTCTCGGATCGGCAAGAGAGCCGTGGGTCGTCAATCATCGATCCCTTGCATAGGCCGGATACGGAACCTGCTGATCATCATAACGGTTACCGCAGCGCTCCGACGGAGCCTCGAAGGCCTTGCGATACTGAATGCAGATGCTCGGCAACAGGATCCTGATGGGCAAATAGTTCATGGGAAGGGATCGACATGCATGAGGAAGAAATCAGGTCACTCATAGGGAATCAATCTTTGGAGATGTCAGGAGTCCCGGACGAGCGACAACGAGTTCCGTTTCCCCTCTGAGTGATTGTTGTGTCTCTCAAAAGATCTTCCAGACATGATATCGAATGTCGCGGAGGCGTGCTCCCTTGGACATACGCGACATCTTCGCTGTTTGTATGGGCGCGCGCACAAGGTACTTCAACAAGTCAACATTCGAACATCGGCCTTTGCATCGAAGACAAGGGAATCAAAACTCTAGGCGTTGAATTGGAGCGATCGGGAGTCACTCGATGAACGAGCGCTCGTCCAACGGTGATCGAACATTGAGTCAGCTCATGATTGTGAAAATCGATAACTTGCGGAGGGTAAAGTGCGTTTCCTGAATCCGCCATCAGATGTCGTCGATCCAACTCGGGAGGATCGTTCCTCTCGACCCGCGTGATGTCTCCATCGATTCTATCGCGCTCCTGAGCGCCAGGCTGAACGCTCCGGTGCGCGGTGAGTAGATACGAGCATGAAGTCCCAGCCGTGACGCCGAAACTGCTGCTACGAGTTACCTTGCGAGTGCGAACTCGAGCTCACAAGTCGATTCTGGATCCGATTGCTATTGATCAAAATTAGAGAGTGCTCTAATGCTAATCTATCTGGATCAGGACTCTACGTAGCGTGCAGCATTTGCGGAAAAGAGAGGCTTTGTCCTAACCTGATTGATCCTGGTCAAATTGTCTACGAACGCTTCTCTTGTGCAAGAGGTACGTCTCAGCCCACGGTCTCTGTGTGAGAGTAACCGCATGCAGATCGGGTATGCTATTTATCCGAGAACATCCGGGATGAAGTTCAGCTCTTCTGTCTGGAATCCTCGGGTATTCTCATGGTACCAGTCCCCTAAATCCGGACAATCCATCTCCCCCCCCCCCCCACGTTAATAGAAGATGCTGCAAAGGATCGACAGCCACCGCGCCGCCAGGCTACACTTTCGTCCCGGGAAGCTTGGTTCTTGCCATCCACGATACCCACCAGCGCAGGTAGTGAGATTCTTTACTTTCCGCATCGCAATTCAACGAGTTGATTCGAGAGATGAAGAATTTCCAATCATGAATAGGTTTTGGCCGGCAATCATCGAGGATAGTCCCGAAGAACTAACGTATACGTCTACAATATTTGGAGCAGACAGCGGACCACCAATCGTACGTTAAGCCCCGCGTTCCGACTTGGTGCGTGCGTATTGTCGGTAGATCGTCGACCATATCGAAAGAGATATGACTGGGCTCCGAACATTTTCAGACGGCGTACTATGTCACCTTCATCACCAAAGAACATTGGCTAGGTGGCTGGATCAACGCGCACTCAATTTTCCCGTTCAGGGCCTGCTTCCGGTCCCATGCTAACTCGCCGTCTGAAGTTTCTCATTACGTAGAAGCGGTTCAACAATGCAACCGATCTCTGAGGTTGAGTCTGAGGGACCGACTGCTCAAGCACTCTTTCGTCGCCTACGTGGTAAACTGGCTCTGAATATTCGCTTACGATTCGGATTTCATTTCATTCCGATGCCCTGATTTCATTAAGCGGCCCTACGAAACCTGTCGAGAAAGGATAATGCTTCTTGTGGACATGCTCGGAGAGGACTCTGAAATTGCCTTGATTCGCAGGCTCGTCTGAGAGGGATCGCGCTCACGAACGAAATGATTCTCAAAGTAAGTGGGGTAGTTGAATCGACGATGGTCGCGGCGGCTGCGAGAGACTGTTCAGCAGAGTGAGGGAAAGGATGATAGTGTCGCTAAAAGTTTGAGAAACACCCCCAAGCATTTCATTCGACCGTTCAACCCCTCCTGGGACATCGCTCCTTCGTCTTCGGTCGGGAGTATCCTCTTCACGATCAAGCTTAGGTCCTAAAAACGCTGCTAGGGAATGGAGATGGAAAGCTGATTGAGGACTTCCTACTACTCTGTTGTTCCCCAGGAAACCAGCGGAAGCGAGGACGTTGAACACCGAATGGACTGGGAACCTACTCCTTAGAGTTCTGAATTGATACACGTCAAGTTTCGGAGTCAGGGTTCGCGGGATTACCTACTTTATTCATGCAGACGTTTTTCGTAGCGGTCGCCCCGTTTCTCGAATCTGTGATAACGTTTCCTTTTTGTTTTCAAATCAAATTCCTTCTGCCAGTTTTTTAAAGCAGTTGCGGATTAATCATTTGTGTGGTCCGAAGAATTTTGTCGGAAGGCTTATTTTGGTCTATTCACTCGTATCGATTTTTTGTGCCGGTGTCTGAGCGTGAATAAACCCACATGTATCGTACTCATGTCAATCAATGCATTGATTTCCTGATTTAATTCTTCGCCGCCTACTCCCCCGAGGTGAGGCAAATCAAGAAACTGGAACTCCAAAAATCTCATCTATGACTGTGATCAGTGATCAGCAACAAGCTCCATCGAGTGCGAAACTGCCAGCTCAAGCGCGGGAAACATTTGCTTACTACTTGAGCGCGGAGAGGAAATAATTGATAGTCCTTCGAAGAGCTTCCCGCTCCCTTTGAGTAGAGAAGACCATTGGGATCGAGTTCTCCCGGAGATTTCCTTGTAGCGTATGGATTCTATTGAGATCGGATACGCTAGTGCCTGTTGAGCACATTCATCAGTTCAACTAGAAATCGCTGGATGAGATCGGGGATTCCGAAGCAGAATCCGTGACTTCGTCTCCTGTGTCCCCAACTTTGCGGACGTTCCGATAAAAGCAACGCGACTTCGGGACCGTGTCTCGAGCGGTGGACAACGAACAGGAACAACCTGGTTTCAGAAACCCCATGGTCAACACCGTACCAAGATCTTACCGAACAAATCGTCCTTTGTAGCCGTTATAGACTAGAATTGGATCCCGGATCAATGTATCAGTCGTCTCCGCCGCGGCTGACTCCACGTGGAACGACATGCTATCCTGGGAATTTTTCCCGAACAGGAAAATCAGCTCTCCGTCACTCGGATGAGTTTTCGAATACTTCTACGATCGGTCGCAGATCCAAATCGTGATCCCAGAAGCAATCGATGTTCGGAGTGTGGGTCTCTCCCAACAGCAATATCCGACGTGTCCATATGAAGACATCCGGCGCACACGGTCTGAACTGAGCTCAGACGTGATCTCTGAATGGGCGGCATCATTCACGCACATAGGAAAAAATTCAATGCGATGTGAGACCGGTAGGCTCTATATTGAAGGTCGACGACGTCTGGAGGACGAATGAGTTCAGCGGTCGTTGAAGTAGAGAGCTCCTCTGAAAAGCCGGAATGCATGACACCGGGCACTGCCTCGTAATGTCTCATGCTTCGTGTTGTGGAATCGAATGGTCCCATCAGTCGCCAGCAATCTGCTCTCCCATCATCGAGAGGATCGAGGGCTCGGCTGCCGCGCTGACTGCGAAACTTTCTCTTCCACATGCCGGACATGCGGCTATAGCGATCAGGTGCTCGGCCATCCGATGTGCCGAGGTTCGATTCCGCCTATCCCATCGTGAGACCAAACATATGCAAATAAGAGTTTTCGACCACCCCTCATTCGAACATTCCCGGATGCTTCCTCGATGTCTCTATCAGTGGTGATTCCAGAACTCAGTGATCCCCTCCAAACTTGAGCAGCACAGTGAGCCATAATCAGACGGGGTAATGGGGCGACGGAAAAATGACCGCATGCCCATAGGCTCCATCTCACGTATTGGGTCTCCGACAGTCTCCCGGACTCCTTCCCAGACCAGGGAAAGAGCTGACAAAAACCCCCCCCGGCTGGGAAGAATCTCACGCCAGAGCGGGCGACAAACACGTACAGGCTGCAACGGGTCCGATCCGTCCCGAAAAATTCGTCCTTCTCTCTCTGAGGTTTGGGATGTATCGCGTAAAGATCTCACTTAGCGAAATGTAGCCCCGAGGGAAGTCTGGCAGGATCCGACCACGGCGACGCTAGGCTCTGACGCCTCCCTCGCGGCCACGCCTGGAGGCTGGCGAGGAAGAGCAAACAATCGAGCGAGCTGTGGAAATGCAAAAAACGATATTTGTGAAAATCGCCCGAATAGTGTTTCATGTTCTCGACTCATGCCTGCGTAGAGATGATTTCCCTGGGTATTGAGGGGCTTCCACGACTCAATGCCTGACACGCTGGTCTAAATGTGAAAATGATGTAAACATTAGAGCCTGGTAGCTCAAGCGAACAGTCCACCGCCATGGATCAAAGGAGAACCCTGAGAGCGAAAACACGCATTCTCGAGCAGCTTGCTCGAGTTGACGGAGAACATGGTGAACAGCTGATAGGTCCGGCAGCTCCCTGGAGCTCCCAATGATCTCTTCATCCACGTCGCCCTGTGAGCTCAATCAGTTCACGGAACGGAAGGGAGTCTAGAACCCAAGGGGAGATTTGGAGGATCCAGGATAGAATCTTCTCGAATCTCCATCCCTTCCTCTTGGGCTGGGACCCACGGGGATATCCTGATACAGTCTACCGGACCTTTATAGTATGAGGGGAGATTTGAGTGGCGGGGACCCCTCTCGGGGCTTCCGGTATCAGAAAAACGCGAAGTATGGACGACTGCCACAGATCTTCTCTTGCTTGGATCTTCTCTTGCTCTAGCCTCCGCTCCCCCGCCCCACGCTCGCCCGCATTCCAGTCGAGCATTCGTCCCGCCTAATCATCCATATTGCTCTTCAGGAATGCATATCGGATTTCCTCGAAAACGAGCCCCTGGACAGGACAGCCTCTCCCTGCAGATCTGATGCCAATTCTGCAAACAATACAGTCTGGCCTCAACGGACGAATGCGTCTCCCTGCATGCGCCGGCTCGTGATATCGCAATGGCTGAACAATTCTGCTCCGATTCGAATACGGCTCCCGACTCACTTGCCAGAAATTGTGTATCCACGGAAAAACCGCGTACAGAAGGCTGAAGCGCCTATGCTGTCCCATTGTGGGATGTTAATATGCCATCCCATGCTCCCGTTCTCGCGGCTCGAGAGATCGGGATGAGCTGGGAACGGCCTCGCCACTCGTTCCCCACGATAAGATTCCGCCGAGTGGCTCTGGTCCCCAATTAAGCGGGATATTCCAAGCTCAGACGGATCTCCGTGGCGGAGCAAACGGGAGAAAAACTTCTCTGTTTACTTTATATTGAGACTTTTAGATGGTTGTACACTTGCGCAGTTTACCAGCATGCACGTCTGTGGCCGCGTTGCTTTTAGACGGAGCCGACCATCGTGAGGAGACACGATTAAATCCCGTAATCATTGCTCGTCAAGCGTTCTTGTGGAGTAACGTTTTAGCCTTTATAGATTTATTACATAGTATTCGGACCCATCGGGATTTTCATTTTTAAGGTGAGTATTCCTCACCCCGAATCCTCGTCCGGTCTGAAACTCGAAAGCGCACGATTCGATTGTACGGCTTGAACAAACGCTGTCGGTGTTTGCTTAGTGTTTCAAATACGAGCCCTCCGATGAGTAATGAGGAGGCATGTTTGTGGAGGCGGCTGTTGACAGCGGTGTCCGCGATCGTTGATTCGTCAGGTTCCGTACGTTCGAGCTTGGATGCGAGCTTTGAGCCGGCTTACATTTCAGATGGAAATAAATCGAACTCTGTCTCTCGACGTAATTCGCATAATCTCAGACGAGGCATTACGCCAAACATACGAGTACTTACACGCTCCACCGACTCGTACGTTCCGAATCTCGGAGAATTCCAGAGAATGGTCCATGACATAGCGCGACGCCTAATTGATTATATCGACATCTCATCGAGCTTTCTCCCATACAGGTTTCTCGTTTAAGACCAGCTGCTGCGGGAAAATTCGCCAAAATAGTGATCTTATCGACCCGGGCTACTACCTCAACGGCGGACCCTCATGCGAACAAAGTTTGTGGAGATTTGATCGATTTACTCGATTACATATCTCGTGGTCTAGCTTGATTGCTCTTTCCCTTCGCTTGGTGGATAGAATCCGAGACCCTGTTTCCCCATTCCGAAATCAGGTGGTCTGAGTTGCGACACTCCCGATGAGCATGAGATCGAAGCTTTCGCCGACGGCCTCGTGCCCGGGAGCTTCGTGTACGCTCCGAGGACCTGGAATAGGTTCTGGCCGGCCATGGTGGATTTCTGCCATGAGGATTCCTCTCACTTCGCGGTTTTCAGACTCGGAGGTTCGCACTGTTGCCAACCTGTGAGTATCGGCTCCCGATGGGCCATCAAAATAAAATTCATGGGGAAGAGAATCCCGAGCGACGCTCAGAGCCAGGGTCCAATGTTTGAGGGAAAAATTGCGCATCTGGGGGAAATGGAAGTTTTTCTCGGAGCGTATCGACGTCTTCTCGTTTCAGTACGCCTATTACGTGTCGTTCATTCCCGACATGACCCAGAGAAGGCTAGGAGGCTGGTTTTCGGCAAAATCTGTCGTCCCATTCGACACCACGAACGCTAAGGATATCGATCTAGATCTCAACGTCAATGATCCGCATTTCGACACATCCTACGACAGAGCGAATAGATACTACACCCGATCCCTCACGGCACGAATGGAACGTTTCTCTCTCGTGTGCCACGCTGTACGCATCGCAACAACTCCCAAGTAAAATCAGACATAAGTCGCGGCAGTATCCCGAAAATGACTCTTAGCAATTGTTCGTTATTCCAGCTGCAATCAACCCACGCTAAGTACCGGCCTAACCAGGCGGTGAGTAATCCAAAGGAGTTAGCCGGCTCGCACTCATGGACGTGCATATTTTCGGTCTCGACAATATTATCGATATATAAAGCGATCCATCTTGCGTAGGGTGGACGCTCGCTGTCGGGGATAGTGGTTGATCGAGCCCGGAAACTCTCCCAGGGATTGGCCAAGCGATTCACGTCCAGTAATTACCAACGCTATGAAGCCGGAGAAGACGTTTCCCTGACCACGGGAGCGTCTACCTCGACTCTCGGAGCATCAGCCGACGCGAACGCAAGTGGGAGTGGTTCGGTTTTCCGACGGAAAACGCCTACGAAATCCCGTCCAGACCGCGCCGTACCTTTAGAGAACGGAGAGCTCAATTTCCTACGATGGGACGAGCTACCCTCCGGGCAAACTCATATCCACGCGTCTGAGGACACTCCACCACCGAAAATCGTACAACCAGCAGTACCGATGAGTCCATACACCTTCACTAACCCCACCGAGTACTGGAGATGCGGCGCCCACGAAGTTACCAAGCGCGCAGCGATCCGGGCCGCGATGAAGGCGGGTCTGCAGGAAATTCGCATCTTCAAATCGGATGAAATCATTTGATTTTGCGGTGCGTCCAAAATCAGAGATAAACCTCAATGAGAGACTAATAATCGGACTCGCGGAGAAATGGATCTGTGTCCATTGTGCGAGAGCTGTCTGGATGAATGAAGTACGATCGCACGAATCTCGTACCATGTGCACATCACACCGTGAAGGTTTGCCACGAATGAAACGGACGGAAATTAAATACATGACACGTGGTCTCGATGGAGGCCACTCTCTGAGCGCTCATGTTTTCTTTTACCGTAGCCTCGTTCGGAGCCGGTTCGTTCGACTTAGATTTATTAATTGACGCAGAGATTTTCCCGCAATCTCGGACTCCATCTCGTAGGCTTCTGTTCTCTCTTATCCCCAAGAGTCCTGTCGCTCCCATCCAACTAATACAACGTGGACCACGACGATCAGAACGTCATCAAGTGCACGCGGTGACTCACCAACGTGCCAGCCACATCCGATGGCAGAGGAGTTGTTGTCATCTGGCGGTTGGAATCAGCGGAGTTTGTGACCGACCTTCCCTGATTCCGAACCCCTCTTGCATTGTTCCAGAGCTCAGAGTCCGAGAAGTGAGTTCATTATTTCCTGGTGATCTACCCAAATTGGACAACTCGTCGAGCGAAGCGAGAGTCCGAGGAAATCTATCAGACTTACTTTCGCGTAGAATGTTCGAGGACTCGAATTATACCAAGCTGACCGAGGCCCAGCTCGATCCCAAGTCGCTGAATGCTCTTGATGAGTTCCTTGGATGCGAGCTCGCGGGTGAGTTGCACTTTTTTCTTTCTTCGGGCTCCGGCTTTTGATGGTCCGTGCAAAGTCTCAGTCGTTCCTTGCGTCTCATTAATTCGGCCAATCCGTCGACAAGGTTCTCTTCCTGGAAATTCTGGAAATCATTGAATCTTTGCCTGAGACCCAGCTAGGGAGCTCGATCATAGGATTTCTCCTCGATACAAGTTCGCTATTTTAGGGGGAGGCTTACGACTTCGGCCGATTCTTCCCGGAAAAACATCGGAGGAGGATGAAGTGAGGCCGGGATACCTGGTCCTAGCGCCTGTGGTGATGGACGAAAAGAAATTCTACTGGCCGGCCATCGTAGAATTTTCGCCCGGACCAGATGTTCATTACGTGAAGGACGAGGAGGAAAAAGACGGCGAAACTGGGTTGAGCAAAGTGAGCAGCCTTCCTTGTGATATAACTATCTCATTCCTCGGGACTCCTGGCATTTCATGCTCACGGAAACTCCGCTTTATCATCGTGACGATCTTTCCAGAAGTATTACTTCGTCACGCTCATCACGGTAGAACGAAAAGCGTTCTACGGTTCGTGGGTAGACGCTGAGAGCCTTAAACCCTTCAATTGGCTCAGCTGCCCGCAGGCCTGTGAGGCATCGCATATCAATGCTGCCACGGAAGTTTTTGAATACGTTAAACAGCATGTCTTCATGAGCTTACGGGACCGAATACTCAGACTCTCGTTTCTGGCCTTCGTGGTGAGTTCGGTTCTCCGTCCGTTGACTAATCTCACAATGATATAGTAGGAGGTTCCGATTGCGATTGCGGCTCTGAGTTTGCTGTCAAATTCGGAGCTCTAGGTTGGACGAGAAGGTGTTTCGCGCTCGGCATCTGAGACAGATCATTCCCTTCTAGGCAATCAGCAGAGCTATACGTCGTCAGGAAGTCATTGTTTGAGACTGACAACATCGCCGTTCAGGGATATCCCAGCAGTGGTTCGGCTGGGAAATCGAGAAAGAGTCTCCCAAATCCTCCATTCAATTTGAATTTTTAATATTCGTGGAAGCTTGATCGGGCTTATCGATCGGATTATCTGTTCGCTGCGCGGAGTTTTAAAAGATTTCTATCTAGGTAATCCGAAAATCGCTTTTCACCATTAGTGGGGTGATTCGAGCGATGGGTTTGTGATGAAACAGGGGCCGCCTCTGGAGTCCGAGTTGAAGTTCTCCGACCCCTTTTATATTCGACATTCTCTCAAGATCGCATAATAGACCAGATCTCGGTAAACACAATACAAGTCATGAGAGTCGACTGCTTGATTTGTCTTCAATCTTTATTTGAAGCCTTCGATTTTTTTTATCGTGAAATCTTTTATTAGTTCATCACAGGTACTCGGTTGATTATGAAACTTCGGAGTACATAACTCAATTCGATTCGCCAGCTCAGCTATCGAACTCACATATATACAATCTTGTACCTGGTACAAGGAGCATCTTGCTTTGCAACGTTCACAATAACATCCGTCGTTGCGGTCGTGGTAGGCCTCGGTCTGACATAGCTTGGCGTGAAAGCCGTGAGCCGCAAGTCTCGTGAAGCCTTCGATTCGGTCGTCTGAACGGAAACAAGGTGGAATGAATTCAGATTGGCGAAAGGAGCATGTCCTCAGGATTCGCCCGGGTTCATCTTTGATCGTACTCCCGGATTCCAGAAAAGGCTTCTGGCTGAAACGGACCAGATGGTCGAGCGCGTCCTCAGCCGCGTTTCTTCCAGCCCGTGGGGAGGGCACGCTCGTCCAGAAGACGGCCCGGATTGAAGGCCGGCGTTCGGGAGGGGATTGAAGGTCCAGTCTCGGTTCTCCGACCGCGCGGAGTCCTACTTTCCGTATCCCACACTCGATCGGGACTGTCAGATGATTATTCCCATGTTTCTTGATTCCCCGCTTCTTCTGTATCGCTTCTTCTTCCTCTGGGGGCGCGGCGGTTCTCGAAAGAGCTATTTCGTCCCGTTCTTCCGACGATCCGTGGAAACCCGCTCGATGAGTGCTCTCACGGCTAGGTTCCGCGTCGGTCCGCCTGCAAAAGTGGTCTCGAAGAGACTTGCAAGAATTCTGGTCTCTGTACCCTACGGGTAGTAAGATAGCTGAGCTTTGTGATTGAAGATCCGGAGCGGAATCGGAGATGGGAGCTTTGGTATGAATTCATCCGGATCGGGATCAATTATTTTTTTCGGGGTCGATTTCCAATGGGAATCTATTGCATCCTAGAGATTCTGTGAGCGATCGGTGCGAGCGTGCGGTCGGTTTGAAAAGAGCTCACTGAGACGGAGCGACTAAGAACGCTGGGCGCAGAGAGCAAATCCGTGATGCGGGCAAATCCTGCTCAGCGTGATTTAACTCTGCGGGAGATTCCCGACAGAGTTGAAAAATCGCTCGAAGTCTGAGACATCCTGGAACTCCATTATGTTCGACGATACAACTCTGAGCAGATCCGACAATTCGGAGCACGGTCATGAACAGCGATGGCCGAAGAATGCTTGAATGATACGTGTCACATTTAGCTAGAGCTGGTTGCTTCCACACATGCGTGCAACTCGGGCGCATGAAGCGCTTGCGCGCAAAGTTGTCATCCGATCCCGATAGCTTTCAGCAGTGGTAGCTGGAAGTCTGAATCAACTCAAACAACAATTGCTCTTCACCATAGTGTCAGCGAAATAAAGGTGTGCGATACGGATCCTACAAATGGCCTAGTCCTGCGAGGGAAAAGATTCGTTCCCTGAGGATTCCTTTTTTTCTAGATGAGTGAAAGTCTCTGGGATGGATTTGAGCTTCGAGCTGCCGATCTCGTGCGCTCGAATGCTTTCGACGCTTTCGAAAACTTCAAGAGTCTTTTCCGGCAGAGTAAGATCGGGAGCGAATCATCAGGTATTCTGAGACATGCCGTCGAGATTTCTCCTGTACTCCCGCTTCATCATTTCAGAATTTGCGGTTCAATGTGTCGATTGCGGGAAGATGCTGCCGGGCCGCTTTGTTATCGATCCGGGCTCGCTCCTTGAGCTCCCCTCGACATGCGCGAAATGTGGGTAGATTTATTAAAATTCACTGTCGGTACCCGAGAAGCCCAGTGCTCGGCAAGAGCAACACGGCGGTGGTTCCTACCGATTCGATTGGACTCAAAGCCCCTCCTCTTCCTCAGGCGGACTGACTTGTTCAGAGAATAAGCAATCGTTCCCTAAGCCAATAACATTCGCCGATAGTTTTGTCCCAGGGAGCTTTGTTCTGGCGCCTATAAGGAGGTTCGTCACACCAGGTGTGGAAAGATACCTCTGGCCAGCGATGGTCGACTTCTCCACAGACGAGAACTCCAAATTTTGTGAGCTTGGACCGGACGGAATACCAGTAAGTACTGTTATCGAAATAGCAGACGTGCTTAGCCTTCCGCATCGGTTTCCTGATCGGATACTCGGGAATGAGTGAGACTTTCGAAGACCCCCAGGGCGGACTCAAGTTGTTGGCTCCTGTGGGCAGCTTTTCGGTCGTGCACTGATTGCCGTTAACGACCTCGGCTTTCGCTTCGCAGACTTCATATTTCGTGACCTTCGTCACTCACGGCGACAAGTTTTACGGTGGTTGGTTCGAGGAAGGTCTTCTCCATCCCATTAATAGCCCTAAGACGGAGCTCATCGAGCGCACATTTGAATTCCAACGAGCCCTCCAGAAGTGTCACCGCAAATGCGAGTCCTCTCTACCAAGTCGTCTGGAGCGCTTCTCCTTCGTAGTTCACGTCGTGAGTATGCCAAGTCACTTCCTGAGCCTCTCGGAGTTTCATTGACAAAGTATGGTTTCAGTTTCAAAATTTATCATGTGCCGGCTTCGAGCCCCTTGGCTCTCAATGCTTTCCCTGTTGCAGAAAAACCAGATTGATAAGGAGGTGCCGCACGGTGCCGACCCGGGCATAGACCCCGAGGTGAGTAGAGTAGTCGGATATTTAGCTCGTTTTCTTCTCGGAAGATGTTCGAGCTCCGCTGAATTCGGCTAGGAGCTGCTTCCCAGGTGGTGCTCGGGTCGGATTTATATCTCTTGATTATTCCGCAGACTTGGGAAGCGCAGAGCAGGCGAGAACTCCGCCTCGCCAGAGAAGAGTTTTTCGGCACCGATGAAGAATCTGAGGATTCGAACGATCCCCACGTGTGGCCTTCGGCTGCATTCAAAATAGCTTACATGCTATCACGACTGCAAGTACTGCGAGAGAAGCTGACGGGCGGGGGAGAGGCCTCCGCTGACGAAGGGCCCGACAAGTCGCTCAGAAACACCACCGAAGAGAGTATAAGGTCAGCTTTCTCATCGAGACGAAGCAGCGCTTGCGAATGGCGAGACAATCCCTTCCGGGAACTGCCTAAAACTCAGACCACGTCGGGAACAGCAGGCCCGTCTTCACGGAAGAGGAGCGTGAACCTCTCAGGCCAATCTAGTTCACAAACCGCTGCAAAAAGGTCTTCTTGTGACGGTACCGAGTGCCACATAACTTGAAGAGCTGATCTTGTTCGGCCACCATATAAGGTCAAACTCATATTCATCTAATAGACTGGGAATTTTCGAAATCTTACCGGGAGGCGGAAACGTTCAACTTTGTGGGGAATTTCTACAAATGGAGAATTGATGAATGGTCGACTCATCGAACACGTCCAAACTTAGATTAATTGGTGGAGAGCACAACTTGTGAAATGTTTTGAACTGGTAATTAAAGAATATCGTTCATTCAGCTCAAGACGGTGACGCTGATTGACTTCGCCTAAGTATCTATGTTCGTAATGATGCCTCTAGGAACGTTCCAGCTACCCCGCATTCTCCCGAGCGCCGCGATCGGTCCCCTCCTTTCGGAACCTGTCACCTGCGCGGGTCCATATGACGCAATCACTGACGCAATCGACGTCCTTTCGATACATTCTATTAGGAGCCATTCGTCGTCATTAGACTTCAAGAGTCGAGAGAAGAACTCGCGCTTGCTGACCGTCGGAGCATCCCGGTTCCTGAAGGAGCTTCCGAAGAGAACCTAGAGATTCCATGAGGGCAGACTTGATCCTTTTAATCATGCATACCTCCTATCGGTCTCTATCTGCTGGGGAAGCGAATAAATTGGTAAGGCTTCCTGCAGAATCGAGAATAGTTTTTATGTATTCGTCTCCCCGCGATATATTCGTTTTCCCCCCGGGCTCATCGTGTCCCGTAAATTGAGAATCAATTCGTGCAGGAGGAAAGTTGCAGCAACTTGATCGATCGCAGGAATGCGCCGGCCGCCCTGTTGCTCAATGCAGCTTCCCGAGCGGTAGGTGATGATCCTTCTGACTGAGCAGAAAAACTGTTCATCACATCGGAGAGTTCTGCTCCACGGCTGAGAGGATCGCCCGCGGCGGCCTCCCCCTCGTTTCGACTATCGACGAGAATCCGAAGGAAGCCCGGAGCCTCAGATCGAGCCTCAGAACGGTGACTTCCCTAGCGCAGGAAATTTGGAGCCCGTTCATATTCGAACCCACGGCCGTCGGGGGAATTCTTCCATCCCCGAGTACTGCTGTAAACATCGACTGACAGACAACATTCGATTGTCACGTTCCGCACAGTCTTGACAAGGGTGCGTCCACACATGCGTGCACGGTGAGCGAACGAATCGCCAGCGTGCAAAATCTGTGCGAGGTCCGGCTTCAAAAGCTAAACTAATTTAGGAGAAAACCGCGTTCCCGCGTCGAACGCAGCATCGCAAAGGTCAGTCCCCGATAGCTATTTCCTGGAAGTCCTGCTCGAATCTTGCTACCAGCTGGGAACTCACCATTTTTCCAGATGAGTCAACGTCACTGGGATAGGTTCGAGCTCCGCGTCGAGTACGTGCACTCGAACGCTTTTGAGGCCGTCGAGAATTTCATGGATCTGGGCCGGCAGAATCTCATTTCGGAGTTCGCAATCAGATGCGACGACTGCGGGACGATGCTCCCGTTTTCTGTCATCGATCCGGGCTCGTACGCCGGACTTCCGTGGAATTGCAGAACAAGTAAACAAAATCATTCTGATTCCTCGAGGAGACAAAAACAGGACAACGTCGGCCGTGAGCATCGGAGCGCACGAGCTCATGGAGGAAACTCGGTTCTTCTTCTCTTCCAGTCGGAAAACGCTGTCCTGACACTCCCATGATTTATTTAGAGCCCGCAGCATTCGCTGATAGCTTCGCGCCGGGGAGTTTTGTCTTAGCGCCGATGAATATTCCAAAATCACCGCGTGAAACGCAACACTTGTGGCCGGCGATGATCGACTACTGCCCGAACGAGAATTCCGAATTTTGTAAGCTCGGATCGAATGGTAAACCAGTAAGTAAGATCCACCAGTCAATCTCAAACATGAAGCACTCAACAGAATCGTTCGCTGGACTCGATTCCCCCTTGCGGATTGCAGACTGCGTATTTTGCCACATTCGTCACCCACGGTGAGAAGCACTACGGTGGATGGTTCGAAGACGGCGCACTACAAGCCCTCGATGGCCGGAGAGCAGAGTACTTCACCGGCAGTTCGGATTTCGAGCGAGCGATCCAGGAATGCCGCAATAACTGCCAGCATTCTCTTCCGAGTCGTTTGGAACGCTTTTCATTCGCGGCTCACGTGGTAAGAGCAGAGAGCTCGGTATGACCTACAAGGAGATCGGAGTCACCACTTTCGGCCTGATCGACTAAATCTGCGAGCCGACGCCGGAATCTCCGCTGACAACACCTTAACACTAATAACTCTTTCACACCTATTGCCAATAATATCATATTGCAGAAAGCCGAGGTGGACAAGCAAAGGGGCCTTGATGCGGAAACATGGATAGAGTGCGAGGTCAGTGAGGATTGACTCGGAGATTTCTCTAATACTGCGGGGAACGAAAAAGCTGAACTCGATTCTGACTCAAATTCGGAGGGATTACCCTTCGATCTCCCAACTCAATTAAGAAAATGACCTCATACTCCCACAGACCTGGCGCAATAACTGCAGAGTCGAACTCCGTCGCGCCGAGGAAGAATTTATCGCCGATAGGGAGAGAGAGGAAGGTCTAGGAGAATGTCGCATCTGGCCTTCGGCTGCTTGCAAAATTGTCTACTTAACGTCGCGAATGCAATTGATTCGAGAGGCAGAAGCCGGGCGCAAAGAATCCCGTCTCACTGCGAATCAGGCCGGCCTCTGGGACTGGAACAATGATCCCTTCCAAGAAGTTCGCGATCCAGACGAACCGGCGTCAGAGAAGACCCAATCATCTCGGAAAAGGAGCGCGTCATCGGCCGAAGAGTACCCCGCAGGGCCGACTCCGAAAAAAGCCCGTTGTAAAGCCTGTGATGGTCGTAGTATTCACCCGACACAGTACCCTTAAAACTCTGTTGATTCTTTCTGATATCTTAGCGGGAACCGAGTCATCCTGCCCTTGTGATGAATTCCTTCAAACTGAGGCTTTCGAGAACTCTAAGCGGAACAGACAGAAAATTCAAGATCATTTTTGTGCATATCATTTTACGTAATTTCTAGAGCTATAAAAAAGACGGTGTAATTCGTCGAGCTCACCATATCGATGATATTGAGTTTGGCTTTCTTTGAGAGAGGGATTAGATCTCAAAAGGTCGTGAGCGAATTATCAGCGCTTCGATTCCATGGAGTTAGAGCATGTACTCTTCCGTCACCGCTCGTTTGGCTCGCTTATTGGCCGAGTCCACCAGATGTCCGGCTTACGCTGAAGTTAGCACTGAGACCGTAAGCTGCTTCCCTCAGAGAAAGCGCGTTAAATCGAAGCACTCCGAATTCCGAAATTATCCTTAACAAAGTTTGCAAAGATGATCCAAATTAGATTGAACTTGTTTACGAGCCACCCTTTCCGGGAGCGAGGCTCACTCTTCTGCTTCCGAAAGGTTACATAGCCCCCGGTTCTTTACTCGCGATGAACAGCATTTTCACCGAGCGCGAAAAAATTGGACGAGAGGAACCGGAGTTCGGAGGCGCTTAGTGCCCAGGACAATCTACGAGCTTCGCGTTCGAGGTGTGAAGTTCTGGATCCCCTGGAAACCTCTCGGGCCTCTCTGGTAGAATATTGAAGGATCTCGACAACGGGGGAGCGTCGCGTCTGAAACTGACTTCACTCCACTTATACGAGGGTCTCAGAGCGAATTATCTCGCTCAGGAAAACGATCAACGCGATCGGAAACGTTCGCTCCTGCAGACAACGCCGCGCCGACTCGGGAGAACTATCGTGCCCGAGTATCTGGCTCTTGTAGCTCAGCTCAGCGGCAGTTTGGGGCACACTCCGACGTCCTGCTCGGCGGCGGGGCCTGAAGCGTGACGGTCATTTTCTTTGCTTTCGCCTCCTTTGCCGTCTCGATCAGATGCTGCACAGGTGAGGGCTCCAGGGAGATCTAGAGTTCCTCCGGTCTGTGGGAAGTGTCCAAGTAGTTCCATTCGATATCCGAACTATCGCATCGCCGAAACCTGGCTCCGTCCGGAAAGTTTCCGTCCGAAGTGGGTCGTTGCGTCAAGGTCAGGCCCGCATACGTACCTAAGGGTATATGTCTGCATATATTCTGTAAAGTATAGGTCTGCAAGGAGGCATCCGTCATGAAGAAGCACGAGCGATCGGACCTCGAACTTAACGGGAAGCAATCGCCCCGGAGAGTTTGGGTGCTGAGGGTAAGGTCACCGAAATCTCCCGGCAAATTGGAAGGTGAATTCGAGGCCACCCGGCTCGTTATCCCGCTCCCGATTGGAATTTTCTCTCGACTCCCGTATACTAGAGAACAAATAATGTCGTCGGAATCGATTTTGCTCCCACAGCAGCTGAAAACCTATCTGAGTCGAAGTCTCCTTCGAGAGATCTCCTGAGGGAAATCGAAGTCTCGGCTTGAAAATTTACGGCTCCAAACCGACGTGGCCGCCACAGCCGTGATGCTCCACATGATTCAGTAGGTCCTACGGTGATCCGTCGAAGTCTGATGATGAACTCCAAGTATATCCCGGTCAGGGGAATGATCTCGTCGGGCTTTTCTCAGCGCGCGGAGCAATCGGAGTCCCGTGCGCCTCGACTTCCGATAAGGACCACGGCACGACGGAGACAGAGTCGCGCACTCCAGTAGGTACATACCGTGATTGATCAAGAACAGAGTTCGCTCCTGGGCGCCCACACCACCGCGATCTCTGGCGATATGGGTGGAAGATGAGGCCTCATTGAGAATTTTGCCGAGCTGAGCATATTTGACGAGGACCAAGAGCTATTGTCATCTGAGGTTGATGCTAATGCAATCTGAAATCTGTCAAAGGCGGAACCCGCAAGCGACTCGGAGCGAACTTCCTGGCCCGAAAGCGAAAGTGTGCATCTTTGTAGATAGCCGCCCGCCCGCTCGCTCGCTCGAACCGATTAGAAACGTCGAGCCGGGAGCACTTCCCATGAGGCCGGTCGTCCCGAAGAAATCATTGGAAACGATGAACCACACTGAAATTATTTCCCTACGTGCAAAAAAAACTCCTGTCCACTCTCGATCACAACTCATGTTATCTCTCGAGAGGAAATGAAATCCCGCCAATCAACGAGTCGAATCGAGAAAATGAGTAGCCCACATTCGCACCGGATGTCCTCGTCTAAAATGCGATACCATCCATAGTTCGCCGTTTGACAGCACTGATTGCCTCTCTGTGCGCGTAGAAAGTCCCCAAAGCATCATTACCCGCTTCGACTGTTTCCGCAGAAGCAGGTATTTCTCTGGGGGAACATACCCGGTAGAATCGCAGCGAGAGACAAGGAGCACTTGTCTTTGGCAAGGGACCACGAAGCGGGTTCTCGGCGTTTTTGAAAGGCTTCGAAACACGACCGATGTACTCGCGAGCTCCGCTCCAGGAAATCGATCGTTGCGCCCCGAGCGTCACAGAGTGCCTCGTGAATTTCGATGATTGCCGACTAAGCTCGGACTCTGGACGAGCTCCGACCGACCCATTCACGCAACCGCGAGTTCGCTCATGGGATCGACTCAAACTCGTTACGAACGACAGCGGTCGAAGTTCGACCCATTTAAAATCCTGGATAAAAACATAGAACGAATCCCTGGAGATCCAGCGTGACCCGCTCAGGGTGCAATGAGCTCAGGAAGCGAGCTCCGTGCTGGTCAAAAATAAACTCTGTGGTTGACTTCCTGATACCGCTGCGACACGTGACACGCATCTTCGACGCTCGTGGAAGTCACAAACAAGAAGTGGAACGAAGCCTCTCTCGTCATTTTCGCGTATGTGCCACGCCAATTATCCAAGATTTCGTTCTTTCAATGCCCACTCACGGGCGCATCCCTTTTGTCACGAGCCGAATGAGGGAGTGCGTTTCCATAGCTGTCGGCTGTCTATTCTCTCGTTGGGTAGACAAGCAATCACGGCGACGACGAGCGAACGAGAGGCAAAACCGGCGGGGGCGGGGCGTCGACGGCACCGGCAGGCATTAGCGGGAGTGAAGACTCCGACCGTTTCGTTGTGTTAAGTGTGTCAACGCTCTCGTATTCTCTCGCCGGGAAGACTATCGCAAGTGCAATGCCATCCCCGCCGCTAGTTAGGCAGGCGGGCTCACTGGCTGGCTGTATCTGACAGCCTGAGTTGTCGCTGAAACGATTGAGCGATTTCGCAGAGAGCGTCGTAAAATCTCTCCGGCGGCGCCCGGCGGCAGTTCCGTGCGGGGATCCGAACCGCACCGACTTAGCTTCCCGGATCTCACCGTAACTACATTTTAGAAAAGGTCTAAGCGATACCCCAACTGTTTTTTTCCTCCTGTCGACGGCTTAGCACGTCGATCCGGAAAGTTCTCGAATTTAATCCCATAGAAACCCTTGGCGCACTCTCTATCCTCTTGTTCAACGGAAAGAAGCCGTTTAGGCGATTTCATTCCAGGTGCTTATCCTTTGACAGTACTGTACTCACCACCGAGCCGAAAATGGCAATGATGACAAGATACCCGAGGACATTCTTCTGCCTCATTGAGACACGGAACGCAAAAGGGTCAGAAAGGAACGTACTAGAAATATTCTTTGTTTCCCGAGACAGACGAGGGACCGTCAACCCGGAAAGTGATCTGCCATGTGGACTATCGAGCGCGATATCGAATCGAGTGAGATTTCGCCGGGAGCCACAATAATTATTCCGAGAGCCTAAGATGTCTATCGGCAAAACGCTCCGTAGAGAGCATGTCTGCCAACTTTGCCGTCCGACGGGAGGGCAGTTTGCCTGCTGGAGCATCTGCTCAAAATATTCGGGGATGGCGGGAGACTGTAGGGCTCCGCTATGAAAATTGTTACAAATCGCCAAAGGCAGAGGAGCACGAATAAGGAGCATAGAAAACAGAAAGCTCCATGGAACAACAACGAGAAGAAGAAATAAAGGAAGAGGGAGGAAGAGGAGGAACATCGGGCCCTGGCTGATGCTGCCGCCGTCGCTGTTACTCACATCGTATGCTTCGCTATTTCCCGACTACTCTTCGGATGCCGAGTTCTGTTTTGCCGAAACCAGCGAAATGCGGAACGAATCTCGAGCCGTAATGGAAAGATGCGAGTCTCGTGTGATAGCCGCATCGTTCACTGCTTTAAAGGGAGGATTTCACTTTTTGGCTGCGAACATTTTTAGCAAGACGCCATTGAGTAGACGCCACTTTCCTCCTGAACGACTTCTTTCCCCATGGGGGAACAGCCCATCTGCTGTCTCATCGGATGCAATTGTTTCTCGAATCAGGATCTAAGCATCGAAGTCAGTCGATTTGTTCGCAGAGAATCAGACGGACACCCTATTGGCCGCTGGTTGATTGTATTTATAATAGAAACCTCGATATAGGGGGGATTCCGATCGGGGGCGATCGAGAGAAGGAGGATCGAACGAAAAGGACGAACAGGCAGCAGGAAATAAACGGCGGTCCGTCTCCGACAAAAGCTCGCGTCGGTGGAATCAGGTCCACCCGTGTAACCTGGATCTAAGTTTGCGCCGTGGGTCCGAGGCGTGGCCTCTGCGGCGGCGCCCCGTACGAAGCTCCCTTCCGCTATCGGAAATCCATCAAGTCGAGATCTGGGAGATTCGAGATGCGGATAAGCGGTGAATATGTTCAGTGCGGTAGTTCATGTTTCTATTTTCCCCGTAGCTAGACCGAACACGGTCAAGAGGGCATATTTATCGATCACGCGGAGCTCGTCTGAGCATCGATGAGCAGACTCCCATGCCTCATGGAACTTTCTGTCTATCGGAGGTCCTGAAAGGGAAGAGGTTCCCCTAAGGGCTCAGCTAGGAAGTCCATGAATCCTCGCGACAGAAAAGAGGAACGAGGAGCGACGAATACGTTGTGAAGGAGACACGTTCCCATCGTTGTCGCTGGAAGGAAACCCTCAATCGTAACGACCCCGAGGAAGAACGATACCCCCAATCGCCCGGCTCCTGCTCTTTCTCAGAGAATTACGCTCCGCTCCCTTTCTCGGAGAATTACGCTTTGCTCCCTCACACGCAAGCGGGAAATAAAGGTCAACGACCTTATACGGGCTCGATCTGACGTACCCGAGTGCTGT